CGAATAGGCGAGAATCTTGTCAAATTGACCAGTCTCGGCAAACCCGGCAATGACCTTGTGAGGTACATTGGCTTGCAGATAGATGGACAAAGCCATGTTCATGTCGTATGGTCGGACAATGTCTCCGAGTTCCTCGGAAGCTTCCAGCTTATTCTCACGCATCCATTTCTCCAGCAAGTGCTTCCTGTTCTGTTGCAGGACAGGGCGCACAAGCTCAACACTCTCATACTTGTTGAGGGATCCCTTGTCCAAAAGCATACCGAAGTACTGTAGGATTACAGACATCTGCTGGCCAGTTTGAGGCGCATTCTTGAAACGATTGATCGTCTCTGGTGTACGAAGGAAGCCTCGGGGAGAGTTAGCAGCGATCTTGGCAGCTTCGGAATAATTTCCTTGCGCCAGCAAGTTGTCGAACTGCTGCTGGTAGAGGTGATCCGCTCCAGGAAGGCCAGCCTTTGATGCGAGCTTCACCGCGAGACCAGACATGGCAGGGTTCTCCATCAGGTACTGGATAATAGTTCCCTCATCAACGCTGACCGACAGGACTTGGCCTTTACGGTTGACACCGACCAGGCCGGCGGATTCTGAGTCGGGGGCTGTAGTGAAGATTGTTTCGCTGGAGATACGGTTCATGAAGATGCAGGTTCCGGTCTCGAGGTCGTAAAGATGAATGAAGCCATACTTGGTAACGAGGTAAACGATGTCGTACTTTCTGGAGACCTGCATAGCGACCGGGAAATCATTGACTGCTTCTTGCGGGAAGTACACTTCCACAGCCTTCTTCTGGAAGCGCGGGTTGGGCTCCTGGTGGTCGATCTCGGCGATCTGGAGTTTCGCGCCGGTCGGAGTACGAACAGCGAAGGTGAACAGCTTGTGCTCCAAAGGAGAGCCTTCGACTCTGATTGAAGCAAAAGCTGCCGCGTGTCCTTCAATAAATTGAGAAATCCCGCGATCTTTGGAATAAAGTTGCATTGAACCCACAACACGTCCCTGCTGTTGGCTGATACCGACCACGACCATCCATTTCTCCTCGTCATTGACACGGTAGTTGATAATTTGGCAACCCTGGCAGCGATGATTGTCAGTCACTATGAGTCGAGAAATGTGTTAGACATTTTGATTTCCGCCACACTTACGCTGAGGTTAGGTAGTCTGTCAAAGATCTTGAGAGGCTGGTTCTGGGTTGGATCAAAAACGTCCCAGTGGTAGACAGATGCCTCGGTGACCAGACCTAGACTCGTTTCACTGAACCACTTCCAGTAAACAACATCTTCGTTCATGACCGCAGACTTGAGCTTTTGCTTTGCAGCGAGGTCGAAGATCTGAATTGTTCGACCCTGAGCTCTGAGGGCGATGATGTTCTTGGTCCAGTGCATAATGGCACTGTCCGCATTGATCGGCCGCTTGATGACTTCATTGTTGTTCTTGAGGTTGATGATAATGACTTGAGGCTTGTCATCTTCATTGAGCTTTTGCCTCACGCAAACGAAATGATCCGATTCTAAAGTCTATCCAGCAATGACACTACGGTTAGCAAGTTTCGGGAGATCCCTGTTTTGGAGATGCGCCTCCAAGCTGTACTTACACATGAGTTGAAGCCGATCGATTGTGGCTAGAAGAAACAAGATGTAAGCAGATATTCACCACATTTACAGGTAAAGAGAAGCGCGTCCGGTGTGCCGGCGTGCGACACCCTAGTTCAGCGACGGATGGCATCAGGCAGTATCGGATGGTAGGACATACAGCAATTTCGGCATTTGTCAGCTATAGTAGATGAACCAGACATTAGCACTCTCTATCGACGAGCGGAATGGAATCAACACATGAGACAGGGGAAATACATTGATGAGCTCCGTGAACTTGATGGGAAGAGGAGCCATATTTACCAAGGCCGCAAGACGACCTTACCCGCCCAACGAAACGCCGCTCAAAAGAAATCAACTAAGCTCGAGGTGAAAAAGCGAAGGGGATAACGGAGAATTGAAGCTAAAGACGGAGAGAGAGAGAGAAGGAAAGTAAAGGTGAGGAATTAGAGGAAGTGAGATGAGCAGGAGAGGGATACGTAGGTGGATTAGCAACTGGGGAAAGCGGGAAGTGACCTCAGGAGGCCGACGCTGTTGTCGTTGCTGAGGTGTCGCTTATGGGGACGTCACGTGCAAAGGGGTAAGCTCCAACGGTACCTGAGAAGTGACAACCGCTGCAGTCAAGCGCTTTCAGGACAATGAGCATGAAGATGAGGCAAATGAGAGAAGTTAACGATGTCAATGAAGTGAATTGAATGAAATGCCTAACTCTCTGAGATATTATCAGGCATTGATTGAAGTATTCAATTGAGAGTCCGTGTTTGCTTTTTCTATTTTAAGGTCCTGATCGAGCTCCTATAGATGACGGAGAGGCTCACACGCACGTGGATGGTCTGAGGCCAATTTTAAGTGACAGGTGCCAGCGTCTCTTTGATTATTAAGGTAGTGTTTATACTTCGGTTTTGATTCACTACGTCTGAGCTGATCTGAATCAAAGATGGTTATAGAAATGGCACTTCACCACGCAGGCTCAGGTGAGACAAACTGATCAGTATTCTAATTCCGAGCTGAAATGGACTCCTGGGGTTCGAGACTGAAAGGGCTGGTCGACTCACTCTTCTTTATGGGTGGAAATGCTCATTCGCAGCACCTAAGTCACACTCTCGGTTCCATTTAGACCCTATGAGGTCTCAAGACACTCGCGTATAGCAAACAGCACGCCGTACTTGAATCTAGGATGCCTCAGTGGCAATCTCTTTTTCCAAACACGTCCAGAGAAACTGGCTCGCGAGATGAAAGACGCACTGCCGCTTTCTACCATATCCAGAAGCATCTAGCGTCCTCCCGGGCGTCCTAGTACACCCAATATATACCTGATATCAAGTCAAGCAAAACGAGCCTCGCGGTAACCATAATCATCAATGGCCACGGCGCATTGACCAGTGATCTCCACGAGCTATTATTGATCTACTATTTGTAGCCTTTTCCCTCTATTCATTCGGACCTAAGGCGCTTCAAATTCTCCGCCAGCTCGAAGGATGGTTTGCAACACTCCGTAGCATCTGGGTCGACGTCACAACACCAGAATGTATATGCAACCTCGGAGGCATGAGGAAGCAACGACCACTGGTGTCAGTGTTATAGGCAAGGAATACTGGTGTGAGCTGGTTGTGGACTAGACGTTGAGAAATCACGTAGCAGGGAACGAGTAGTGTTCCTGACTATATACAACGGAGAGCAGTATTTGCCACCGAGCGCACCGCAATGTGATTGTGTGTCCTGCCCCTGGATCGGACTTGTGTGGTTCCAAGGACAGACCGTCGTGGTTCTCGGGACAAAACCAGGGGCTGGCCACTGCGCAGACGGTGCAGGACATGTCGATGCTGCAGGCGGGCTGTTCAAGCTTCTTACATGCATACGCGCCTGCATCAGTGGGCATTCTCCAAGGGTGAACCTTAAGACCTCAGCAAACTATATACTTCTGACATGCTTGGCTCATCGAATACCGATGTAAGGCATAGACATGATGGAGAACAATGCGGACATCATCCCGGTGCCAATCGCAGCGACAGAATAATATTTCGAAAAGAAAAGTTTTAAAACGACAAAAAAAATGCTCACAAGCGGATTTGAACCGCTGACCTCATGATTACTAGTCATGCGCTCTACCAACTGAGCTATGCGAGCTAGTAGATATTATAATGTTTTCCGCTTTGCTAAAAATAGTATAATATTCACGATTACAGCGTGCTATACCTACATCTTTGTCGTTATGCATCAACTTCTGTCTTCTACGTCACTCCCACCAGATCCCATACCAGGCCTTCGGCCTTTCAGGGAACATGGGATGGCTCTTAATTAGCTTTTGAACTCGATGGATACTCTCACTGGTGCAGAGCTAAACCCATCCTCGGGATTGTCCCTTGATCATCCGAATGTAATCATGGCGAGGGCCGATCCAAGTATATTTCCGCGACAGCCCTGATGCATAGAGCGCAACACTACTGACAATGTACCCAACTAACACCTGTATTGCATGTTTTCTTGGCCATATATAGCCGTAAAGCACAACCATGAACAACAGATTACCAACATGCAAAAGAAAGCCAGTGGAATTGTAACCGCAAGTCCACAATTACCATAGCAAACTAACTGCAGGAACTGGACGAGCGAGGAAACCAGCCAACCCTCGAAAGAAGGACCTACTCATACCGTCCTAATAAGTTAGATAGGCAGCAGGAGCTATATAAACACGACTCGAATAGCCTCAACAGTCATTTGACCCACGACCTTCCCTTGAATCCATTCAGTGAAAGCATCGCGACCAGAGACATGCGAACGTGGTCTCGTAAAATGCCGTAAGGCATACTGGAAACTCGAAACCTTCACATCGAGAAGGTCCGGATATACCTAGCTAGGTAGCGATGCGCATCGACCGTATTCTACCAACCACCAATTATCAAGCATCCTTCTTGCAACGTCCTGTGCTAGATACTCCCTATCCAGGCAAGCACTGCCTTACATATTGCGCATCAAGCACCCACCTAGCCGAGCGATAACCCTACCTTTGTCAGATGTGTCACATCGTATCCGTCATTCGATAGAGTGCGCGACTGCTAAATCGCGCGGGGTTCAAATCCACACGTGAGCACTTTTGCCGATTTATTTTTCCTCAACTGAATCATGAGCAGACTGTGCTTCTATGATTGGTTTATTACACAGCTACAGAATCCCAGAGAGTATAAACAGGAATAAAGTGGTACTGAGTTGAATCTATACAAGTTCTGTTCGTTAAGGCCGCTATCCGCAACGCCAACACATCCCATAATCACATCAAAGACATCAAGCACTTTTGGCATGACTTCTTGGAGGCCTGTCGATGGTAATACTTATAGGGTCATCACAAGACTACGCAAATATCGCTGAGGTATCATGGCCCACCGAGACAACCGTAAACGCTCCACACTTAGTGGACACTTAGTGGTGGAACAGACGAGTACCCTGTTCGACGAAGACGATACCCAGCTTCTCGGCCGTCTCGAAGACAGGGCCATCATTCTGGCTACCGCTGGGGGCAGCGATGTACTTGGCACCCGAACGAGCAGCACGGAACACGTTATCGATGAAGGGGAACTGTTTGACTCTGCATCAGCACAAACTATACAGACACATGATAGAGTGGTCAAGCACTTACGAAAGCGTCGGACGAGACGGCAACCTCTCCCATCTTCGACAGCCAGCTGTCACGCTCCTCCTGGGTGAAAGGAGCAGGAACTTCCTCGAAGACGCGCTCGTACTCGGCCTTCTCGACATCGTTACGGGGGGTCTGTCCGGAGCAGAGAAGGTCGATGGCATTGCTCTTGTCAGCACGCTTGGTGCCGGCCTTCCACTTGATGTTCAGCACACGCTCGTGGAAGCGCATCCACCAGTTGTCGGCCTTGTCGCCGGCCAGACGAGTGCAGTGGATACGGCTCTGCTGACCAGCACCCAGACCGATGACCTGGCCGTTCAGGGCGTAGCAGACCGAGTTGGACTGAGTGTACTTCAGAGCGATGGTGGCCACAGTGAGATCCCGCAGAGCAGAGTCGGGAAGGGCCTTCATGTCCTTAGGAGTGATGATGGTGTTGAAAGTCTTCTGGGGTGAGATGACGACGTCGTTGCGCTGTTGGCTGAGCTGAACACCGTAGACAGTGCGAGTCTCCTCGGAAGCGGGAACGTAGTGCTCGTCCATCTGCAGGACAAGGTACTTGCCACCCTTCTTCTTGGAGAGGATCTCTAGCGCCTCAGGGGTGTAGCCAGCGGCGATAACACCGTCCGACACCTCACGAGAGATAATCTTGGCAGTGGGAACATCACAGACGTCGCTGAGAGCAAGTAGATCTCCGAAACTGGACATGCGGTCCGCTCCACGGGCACGAGCATAAGCCTGGGCCAGTCCAGAAGTCTCGATACCGGCAATATCATCAACCATGTAGACCTTGCGCTCCTTCTCGCTCAGGGGGACACCGACGGCAGCACCGGCAGGAGAGACGTGCTTGAAGCTGGCTGCAGCGGGGTAGCCAAGAGCTTGCTTGAGCTCCTTCACCAGAGCCCAGGCGTTGAGGGCATCGAGCAGGTTGATGTAGCCCGGGGATCCATTAAGAGCCTTGAAGGGCAGCTTGCCATTGAGCATGTAAGCAGAGGCAGGCTTCTGGTGAGGGTTGGCACCATAGCGCAGAGACAAGTGCTGCTCGCCGTTACCAGCATACTGCTTGCGGAAGAAGCCCGAGATGGCAGTGTCGTAGTCCGCAGTGTGTTCAAAAGCCTTGAGGGCGTACAGCTTCCGGCTGGCCGCGGAGATCTCTCCAGCTTCCAGCTCCTTCAGGAACTCGGGGTAGTCCTGGGGGTCAGAGAGGATGGTGACACGAGCGTGGTTCTTGGCAGCAGCGCGCAGAAGGGTTACACCGCCGATATCAATCTCCTCAACGGCCTCGGCGATGGTGACATTGACCTTGTTTACGGTCTCCTTGAAGGGGTAGAGGTTGCAAACGACGAAGTCAACCTTGGCAATCTTCTGGTCGGCCAGATCCTTCTCGTCGGACTCGATGTCGCGAGCAAGGATACCACCGTGGACAGCGGGGTGAAGGGTCTTGACACGGCCACCGAGCATCTCAGGAGCGTGAGTAATAGCCGAGACATCCCTAACAATTGAAATGCCATGTCAATGACCATCACTCCGCGTAAATGGGAGGAGGTAGTGACTCACTCAACCGGGAACCCAGCTTCACGGATCATTCTGGCGGTACCACCAGACGCGAGCAGACGGACATTTTGCTTGACCAGACCCTTGGCCAGGTCCAGAAGGCCAGTCTTGTCGTAGACGGAGAGGATAGCTGTTTATAAAAAGAAGTGTATAAACTTGAGTCAGTCCAATGTTCGTTTCAATTCCAGGCAAGTAACAAAAACCCAGAGTGGGGAAGCAACCAGCCAGTACTTGGCGAGCAACAGACCCAAGCTCCGAGTGAGGGGAAGAAGAGGCTGAGAAGATATCAATAATGGACATACCTGACTTTTGTTGAGACATTGTTAGACACTGACAGTGATGAACACTGAAACACAACAGAGTCAGAATCGAGCACCGACGAAAATTTAGAGGGGGTGGTTGGAGTATGGGAAAAAAGTTCAGATGGCAGTCATGTCAGGAGCCCCGCCTGAAGTCAATTGAATTGGGTCGTGAGGGCGATCAGTCTATTACCGGGTACTCTTACCTGAAAATATGACAGTCTGGATAGAATGAAGATAAAAATTTCACAGTCTCTGTCGGTCACAGGAACAAGAAGTATCTGCAACAATTATCTACCTTATAGCTTTTCTATCTCTGCTCATCCCACCGCGGGGTCAAATCATGCCTCCTCTGCGAGTCATGGCCGCTCTCGGAACTGTTTGTATCATTACAGATGATTTCCAGAATAACAGCCCCACTCCCCTTCGCCATCTGGTAATTCCCGCTTCGGGGTGTAACGCAATTTCCAAAATGATCCCCTGAAATGGAGCTGTCACATGATCTCCGCATATGCTATGCAATACATGATTGCGTAATTGTGCACTGCGCATTAAGGCCTTCCAAATCACATGATACAGCACAGACCACCAGTCCCCATCCCGACCACAAAACTCGCTCTGCATGAAAACTTCTTTCCTTTTTCTTTTCTTCTTTTTCTCTCTTCATGAACAACGCAAATAACAACATTCTTTCAAAAGCGTTCCTACGAGGATTATCCTCTTCTACGGAAGAGATAGGCCTATGAAGTACGGAAATCGTCATATAGAATGGAGAGGGATTGTGGGAAACCGCAAAGTGTCGATCTTGGGTGCAGTGTCTGACTTGATCTCGTCTAATGGCGAGCTCGGTGGAAGGGACTGCAATGATTGGCTCTACAGCCTTTGTAGAATCCTGAGGATGTGTATGGTGTCCATTCATGTGTGGTCGAAGTGGCCGATGACACGGCACCTTGAGTAGTTGGAAACGTCGCCGTTGACATCGTAAGATTATACCCAAAGCTTGGGCCTCCCAAGCCGAAAAGGCCTTGATGATCAGGATCATTTTCATTATCCTATCATGAAGCTATTCTATGCCGAGAGACCTATCTATCGATGGTAACCTGTGGAACGAAGCTACCTGGAGCCGATCAATCCAAAACTAAGCGACCTTAAAAAATGAACACGAAATGGGAAAAAATCGAAGGATTTTCATAGGAACTCCACTAATTGAGCCTATCTCTGCCTGTACCTCCGATGGCAAGTTGCCGGCCGACGTTGCCAAAGCAGACGCAGGCGCAGAAGAGAACACTTGAGAGCCATATGCGGACCGCAACAGCCTCCTGTGTGAGGCCCGCCACCAGTCCATATTCCAGGACAGTGCCATTCAGCAGAGGAATGGTAATCGCAGGAGTATCTGCGGGAGTTGGGACCAGCTCCGGCTTGAGCCCCAGCACCACACCTGTCCCGGCTAGTCCCACCACGGTCGACAAGATGAAGCCTGCCTTCGTGCGGTCAATGAGATACCACAGCACAGGGTTGACTAGAGCGAGAGTGGCAGACGCCTGAGTTGTTGATTCCCATGGAAGTCTCCTCTGTGCAGCAGAGCCCAGTCAGCGTTACAAGCCTTTAGGTAGATAGATGCGAGTGATCGGAAAAACAAAAGGATTGAGATAACATTCTTACCAGAGCAAACGCAATTCCAACAAAGGCCCCCACGCTCCGAGCCACTGTAACCCAAGCAGGAGTACGATCTTCGCTGGGACGATTGTTCCCCTGCCCTTTGGCGGTCCCGGAACGATCCGTATCCCACTCCCCAGCAAAGGAATCCAGCCAGGGAAGCACATTTCCCAGAGCCACTCCAGCCAGACCCCACAAACCCAGATATTGCCAAGAGTCGTAGTAGCGAACATTCTCCAACTTCACCGGCGTGATCCAGTGATTCTCATGTAAATGGACTGTGATAACTCCGTAGGCCACACCGAACCCAAAGAGAAGCACACTCCGGAACACCTGAGGCAGAATCACTCCACGCAATAGCCCATGACTGAGGCGCGATCGAGTTCTCTGCAGTGAACGGCGACTCGGCCGCTCAGAAGACGGTTTAATGCTTGGTGGATCCTCCGAGATAGGTGTTTGTGCCTCCGTGCCCCAGGGGCTCGACTCATCTCGGGCGCTTTCGAATGCGGTCGGAGAATAAATGCCATAAAGCGTAGACGACGTCAGGTTCATGATGGAAGCATTGCGGCTTACGCTGGTCGAACCGGCTTCCTTGGGATTGAGCAGATCAGAATTGGCGGGCTCCGCAGGAGTAGGAGATTCGGACGATTCGTTCGAAGCCGGCGTAAGATCGAACACTCGCCGCGGACGAGGATGAAGGATGGCGGGTTTATCAGACATGATGGGTGATCTGCTGAATAAGGAAGGATATGGTATGTTTCGTAGCGGGACAGAAACAAACAATCTGGTAGTTGCGGTCTCCCAAATCCAAATATGAGTTCGACACGGTATCAGAAGGCGAAGTGAAGGTTACAACCGAGAATCTTCCGGGCTTATATCGTCGAAAATAAACCAATGCTAGGATGACGAATGATCGAATGCCGCCTCTAAGTAAATGTGATCTCTGCAGTAGAGAAAATAGCCAGCCTGATGGTGGCACGGTACTGGGTGGGGAGACACCCTAGGAAGGGAAAAAGGAGGAGAAAGAGGTCAAGGACCTGTCAGGTGTGCAGCGACAACACTGGAAGCTGGTCTAGCTGTCCGAAGTACTTCTGTAGCAATGATAGCGCAGTCGTCGACCAAGCGGAGGTTTGAAACTCTGAGGAGATGAGGGAAGACGACAGAAGCCGACTCGTTCAAGAGCTGGAGTGGAGCACACTTGCAGGTGAAAATCGGCGGCAAGATTACCTATGATCGGCGGATTTCTGGGGCACACAAACGATGGAAGGACGAGTTAATACAGTTTTGGTTGAAATTCTATAAAGAGCAAGATGACACGTTTACAAGTGTAACCTGATATAAGGATAAACACAATGACAGAAGCAATAATGAGTATAATGAGTGTGGATGTTTGACTTGTGAGCAGATCATTTTAGTTGAGGTCGGAGGGACGACGTCGGAGGCGGCGGTTGCGTTCACATGTCAATAACGATCATTGTTGAGTCAATAAAGATATTATCGTATGGTAACTTCCCAACCATCCAGGGTTCCCCTCCACAAAGTCTATATTTCATACGTGTCCGGGACTCCGTACAGATGTACATACTGTAGTAACTGGAATTGATAACGATACATCTCCAAGGCTGCACAGCAGCAGCCATCTCTCCACTTGATTTGCACCACAGCCCTTGGACTGCCCAATAACGACATTCGATCGGTTCTGGAATGTCTCTCTGATGTCCATTTAAATCCGACGCTGGATTTATCGGACTTATCGGTCGCGGTTGTTCGACATCTTTTCATCATGAACTTGACATAGATGACAGTAGAAGACAATGTAGCTTATGCAGCGGAACTGAGTCCTGAGTACATGTCTGTTCTTGAACACTCATAATCGTATGTGGCTACTGCACTGTGCTATGGTAACAAGTTGAACACGGTCACATGGGCGGGCAAAGACACATTAAGAATTTTAGAAAAGGGCAATAAGGAAGACAAAGTAAGAAACCGAGTGCTAGAATATGAAACGTCTAGTGTGACTTGTAAGCAAGAGCATTCCAAGACGGAACCAAATCATGAAAGCGGTGTCTCTACTAGACTTTGCCATCGTCTAGGACCGCGGCGGTAGTATCACCAGCAACAGAAGAGGTCTCGCTGGCAGCGTATCCATTTCCGCCCTCGAAAGTCGAGGAGTTCTCGTCGATATCGACTCCACCATCTCCGTCGTCGAGATCCTCCTCATCGTCAACTTCGTCGTCAGATGATAACGCTTCGGCGTCCTCATCCGCATCACCACCCATGAAACTGTCCTCGTAACCAGGCTCTGCTGGGCGCGAAGATCGATCGTCGCGATCCGCAGCGTCATCTTCATCCCCGCTTCCTTCACCTAGCAGTTCGCGATCCAGGTCGTCAAGGCCTTCGCCGTCGAGATCGGCGTCCTCATCGGCTAGACGAATGGAAGGGGGCAATGGCGAGAGCTCCTGGTCTTGCGAAGGAACATCGAGATCATCCTTGCCTGCCCCACCCGAAGACGCCCCACCAGCAGCGCGGCTAGGGCGACTTCGGCTGCTCTTGGAGCGGGAGGACGAAGCAGTTTGGCCCTTGGAGGCCTCGCGGCCGGTCGCAGCACCAGCAGCACCGGCCTCTGCTTCGGCGAGCTTTCGTCTGGCATTGCGCGCAGCTCGGGCTCTGCTACGAGCGGACATCGAGGCTCGCCCACTCAGGTCAAGGGCATCCATGGCGTAGCCGTTCTGCCTGGCTTTCTGGCGCTCCTCTCTCTCTTTCTTGCGGTCTCTCTTCGGACCATTCGCGCTTTCGTAATCCCAGCGGTCAAGCCTTCTGGTGGCCTTACGAATCACAGATAAAAAGTAGCCCGCGGACTCTCCGAAGTCTTCTTCCTCCTCGTGGTGAGGGATCAAACCACCTTTGCCCCATGAGGCCTCTTCGTCCTCAGTGTCGTAACCTTCCGGAAGAGATTGCAACAAGCGACCGTAGCGTGCGAACGGGATTTCGCTTTCTCTCTTCGCTCGTAAAATCCGGTAAGCCTCATTTTTACGCTTGGCCAGGAGGTAATCGATACGCTGGCGCCGATTCTGTTCGACAGCCAATTGGTGCTGGGTAAGTGGTCGAGGGCGGCGAGCTGACGGAGGCTGACCAATAGTGGATTCGGTCACGAATCTATTCAGAATCGGATGACCTGACCCTGGAGGGGCCGGCGAGGACGCGTCGGGTGTCTGCTCCATCTTAGTCTTCAAAATCAGTCGCTGCTGACCGACCGAGCGGTTGAGAGACGACTCCCGCTTGGGTCGTTTGGACTCAGTACGTGATGATTGAGTAGGCGTCAGATAGCCTTCATCTTGATCCGCTGGACGCTTGGAAGGCGGCCGCATAGCACTGGTTCCATTATAATCTTCGTCTATTCATAGCCAATCTTGGTTAACGCATGATCACACATGTTGGATCATTGAACTGAACTTACACGAAGGACCTTCTCCCGCGACCACCTTGTCGCTGTTTAAGGGTTCAAACGGAGCTAGAAAAGCGGTTAGCCTAAGACTTTTCGTAGTTGCGAAGGGAGATGGTCGGAATTACCCTTTCGTGGACGCTTTGGCGGCCTGGGCAATGGCTCGTCCTCTTCCAGAATGCCTATGACAACGTCAGCATACGTACGTAAGGTAGGAAATGAGTTGACACCGCATGAACTTACGTTTACGCTCCAAGCGTTTTGTTTCTCCGTATTCGATTTCTGAGGGCGTATCCACGTTTTCCTCGTTTGCCTGCTCTTCCGTGAGGCTTTCGAAACTAGGCACTTTGATTGGCAAGCCCTCGGTTCCTTCACCATCCTGGCCCGGGCCAAAAGGGTTGTTGAGGGCGGCTTCGCGTGAGTAATCACTCTCCAAATACCACCACATAAGCCACAAGAAAGCCCTTGCACGGCTCTTACTGCTGAGCGTGGATCTCATGACCAAGTCGAAAAAATCACGGGGAGGGAAGAAGTGCAACTCGGACACCTTGGGAGCGTATTGTGCGAGGACAAAGATGAGGTGCACCGGATTAGTCCGAGGGATGGGATGGCGTTTGATCTTCTCGAGCGTATTCGGCTGGTCAACGTCCTCTGATGCACCCTTGAGGATGGATTTAAGACGAGGAGCATCCTGAAGCTGCTTGTATGCGTTGGGGTCCTGGTGTGCCTGCAAGGAAGGAATGGAGTGATAAGTCCGTAGTTGAGCGCGCATTTCTGGGAAAACTAGATTTGTCTCCGAGTCAGTCTCGAGATGCAATGGCACAAGTTAAGGGAGGGTTTAGGGAGGAATGAGACCGCGAAGAGGGCTGAGTGAAGAGACAAAGAGAAGGGCAAAACCATACAGTTCAAAGTGGTATTCATCCTCCCAAAGTTAACAAGCAGACAAACCATCGCCATGTTGATGGCGGCTTGCTTATCGCTCTGCAGTTTGTCCTTGAGGATCTTGCTCGTCTTACTGCTCCTCGCCATCGCATCGATGTAAATATCCGCAAAATCCAAGTTCTTCTTGCCATCCGACCATCGAGTGAAGACCGGGGTCTTGTCCTCGAAGACAAGTTTGAGAAATTGGTACTGGATGTCCTTGCGCCAGAGCGGCATGCCATCTTCCTTTTTCAGATGCCTGATTTTGTTTCCCGAGTAGACAGAGCCAATGGTGCCATTCGCCTGACGCCTGATGCCGACCGTCGCGCTGACCGTACTGTGCGACGGCTGCTCGTCCTGGGTTTCCGACTGCGCAAACGACTCGTCTGCGACGTTGCTTTCGACGTCGGCCATCTTCGAAAGGACCCGTCAATGCAGCAATTTCTCGAGAGATAGGTTCTTATCAATGGAGAAATTATCCACTGTCGCGAATGGTCGGAAGTGGTGGATTGTGAATTCGTGCCCCAGGGGGGGGCGTCACACGCTGTCAGACTTGGGGTTATCGAGGACCGCGAAGCGTGTAGCTATTTTAAGGGGAGGAAATGATGCCAGAAGTTTATAGCTAGAGTCAAGGAAGAATGAGAGAAACTCCAGAGGGTTGGAGATGAAAAAATGAAGATGAGGGCTGGATGCGACGATGATAAATATAATGGAGGATGGATTCAGTTTTGGATGAAGAGAAAGGAAAGTGGTTCGAGCAAAGGCAAAAGGAACGTTGTGGGTGTTCTGGTGCCGATATTTCTTTCTGGCTTCCGGGACCTTTTGCCTTGCCGCAGCTTTGGTATACAGAGGTCATACTACTGCTAGCTAGGTATTGTTCTTTAATCATTCCGTCTTCCCCTATTATTACCTCACAATGAGATGTATTTGATATAAGGTCCTTATCGCCGTAATTGATGTTATTCAATCCAATGATTAGAATATTCGAATTAACATTACGCACTGCGGATTTCGCCATTCCTCTAGAATCAATGCGAACATGCTCAACAATAGAGAGATGAAGCCCCGGATTATGTAAGGACTGAGTGTACATGGCTGCCAGATATGTGAAGTTGACCCCTCTTGTTACAGAAACACAACATTTCAGACACACATATGCTAATCCTGGTGTTGAGAGAGGAAGAGGAGGCTGGGAGTTTACAGTCAATGATGTTATTATTCCGTGCATTGATGCCAGTCCTTGCAAACCACTAGGAATACCCAAAGAGGGAATAACACCCACATTCCATCCACGCAGTAGAAGGAACTTGTCACTGCTCATCACCATCAAGTCCAATTGAGAAAATTACCGAAACATTTACACAGATATGCGACCATCGCGTAGAAGCTACAATGACACAGACAAAATAGAACTTTTTAATTGATAATAAGGTAGCTCTCTTCTCTCGAGACCAAGGGTCTCCGTGAGCTACGCCGTGCCGTTAGAAGGCCTAAAGCCCCAAGCTGCTTCTGACTGTAAACGATGATGCCTCCGAACCAGCATGAACATCAATGCGCCAGAAACCACAGTTTTACCCCCTCCGAGGATCCGAGTAATGAAACACAAAAAGACTCCCATTCAAATGTCAAGCCTCCACGGACCCCACTGCAGAGAATATTTTGTGGACACAGCAGCTCAAGTCAACGCCATACACAATGCAAATAATCCCATCTATATCACTCGCATCGAGTAATTTATGCACCGCGGTAAAGGAAAAAGGAAAGCACACACAAGGGAAAAAGGCCCGTGAACACGATTGCGCGTGCACTCGCCTCTTTTATGCGGTGTGGAAGCGCAGACCCGGAATAACCGTTCAGAGTCGATGGAAAGTAATGACACAGCTCGGAGAAGAAAGCGTCGAGTTCCACAAAAAACAGGAATAACGCATGCACGTGCGAATTCGAGGAAAAAGACGAAAGACACAGAACAGGCCCGCCTTTAGATACCGAAACCGTAGAGATCTATGTTGCAAGACACAGTCGATGCAGCTGCAATAGCACCGAGCATATGAAAACCATAAAAAGTACTTTTCTGAAGACGAAAAGCCGGCACTCCCGCTCGGCGCGCATCGTTCAAGCGTACCTCCACATGGACGCTTGAAAAACAGGTAAGGGTATCTGAAAAAGACGGTCGTAGCAGGAAATTCAACGCGATCTATGATAATCATGCAATGCCGATCAAGGCGCTTCTATCCATACCGAATGTATGGTTCGGAGCAGCGAGATGGAGATATCGGACCGCATCGAACGTCCCATGTCTAAGGCGGAAAAGGCGAACGGAAAATAGCAATCGCGAAATGCTCAGCAGATAAAGAACACCCACAAACCCAAATCGAGAAATAAGATAACATAGGAAATTGTAAAAGAGGAAGTCGTGGCGGTCATGACAAAGCCGGTCCCGATAGAAAGGTGAGAAAAGGAAGAAGGACGAAGAGAGGTGCTTCAGGACTCGTTTTCGATCGTAACCATCAGATGAAAGGCATGAGAGAAGACGAGCCATTCAGACCCGACGGCCTCGCCAGGGACCACAACCTCCTAGGTAATTTACCACCAGGAAGAGGGTCCAGTTGGCCCCGAGGGGTTTCCGTAGCTGCCGCCGCCATAACCACCGCCGTAGCCACCACCACCACCGTAGGCTGGGGGAGCACCGTAGCCGCCAGCGCCGCCGCCATAGCTGCTGCCACTGGGAGCACCGTAGCTGCCGCCAAAGGAGGGAGCACCACCGCCCGCGTTACCACCCACACGACGCACATCGCGAGTGGCATTGCCGCCACGACCACGGCCTCCACGGCCTCCGCGTCCACCATATCCGCTGCCTTCGCGAGCAATGCTCTCCAGGAAGGAAGGAACTTCTTGATGAGCCTCCTTGAGAAGGTCAATCAGCTCACGGACAACACCACGGTTGCCACGGTTGAAGAAGGCAGTGGCGATACCAGTGTTACCCGCACGACCGGTACGACCAATGCGGTGAACGTAGTCATCAATATCGGTAGGGAGATCATAGTTAATGACGTGGGTGACGTTTGGAATATCAAGACCACGAGCAGCGACAGCAGTAGCAACCAGAATAGGGCAACGTCCAGAGCGGAACATCTCCAGAGCACGCTCACGTTCACGCTGGGTGCGGTCACCGTGGATAGCAGTTGCAGGGAAGCGCTGGTTCAGCAGGAAGTCGGACAGAGCATCCGCCATACGCTTGGTCTCCACGAAGATGAGAGTGAGACCGGTCGTGCCATGAGTGTGAAGGATATCAAGAAGGACGGAACGCTTGTCGTGGTCCTCGACATACTCAACCTTCTGAGTGATGTTCTCAGAGGTAGAGCCGACACGACCAACGGAGAGGAAAACGTAATCCTTCAGGAAGTCCCTGGCAAGCATCTGAATATCGCGAGGGAAAGTGGCCGAGAACATCAGAGTTTGGCGCTCATTGACGTTAGGCATGTCTTCGCCCTCTACGATGCGGCGAATCTGAGGCTCGAAACCCATGTCCAACATACGATCAGCCTCATCGAGAACAAGGTACTTGATGTTAACCAGAGAGATGCGGCCACGCTCGATCAGGTCAACCAGACGACCGGGTGTAGCGACCAGGAGATCGCAGCCACGCTCGATCTGGCGGAGCTGAGAGCCAATATCGGCACCACCGTAGACGACACAGGGGCGAACCCAAGAGCGGTAAGCGAACTTGCGGGCTTCATCAAAGATCTGAGAAACAAGCTCACGAGTCGGGGCGAGAATCAGGGAAGTAGGGTACGCCTTGCGTTGACGGCCGTAGCCGAACTGACCTGAGGCCTGAGCAGGCACGGCGGAAGGACCTGTCTGGAAAGCCTGGGAGAGAATGGGGAACAGAAAACCACCAGTCTTTCCGGAACCAGTCTGAGCGCAGGCCATGAGATCGCGACCGTTCATCACGATGGGAATGGAGTACTTCTGGACGGGAGTAGGGGTCTGGTAGCGAGCGAGCTTGATGTTGGAAATCAGGTGGTCATCCAGCGGGGGGTTCGTGAAGGCATTGACGGGCTCGGGGACGTCGTGACCAGATGCTTCGACGGGGATGTCGTCGTAGTTGGCGAAGTTAATACCAGTGCTCTGCTTGGTGGGATCGTTGGGAACACCGAAAAGCTCACGCTCCAGGCGGGCGTTTGCGGGACCGGGGATGTGCTTGCCGTCGCGCCACTGGCCGTCTCCAGAGCCTTTGGCGGAACCGCCTTGAGAGCCGCCGTAGGAGCCTCCGTGTCCTGGGTGTCCGTAAGCATGTGGATCAAAGGGCCGACGTTGAGCTTCCGTGGGAGTCCAGCTGTTGTTACCATTGGGGACATTGGGACCACGAGGGCTGAAATCAGAGGCGTTGGCATTAGCCCAGTTGCCACCGCGAGGACCACTTCTGTAAGTATGCCACGGTCAGCCAAAATGAACACTGACAACGAACTTGTGAAGACTGAGACTTGAGAAGGGATTGAAAACTACATACCTTGGGCCATTCCAAGCACCAGCGGCTGCTGGACCGGGGGGAGGAGCAGCAGCGGCACCGTCGACGTTGGCGCCCATGGTGCGCTGACGGAGATGGGGAGGGATGTAGGCAGCGCGGCCGTTGGAAGGAGCAGCAGGCGCATGCTGGGATTCGTTAAGGGTCAGGTTTCCCATCTTCAAGCTGTCGGCCATGATTGCGGTAATTTTGAAACTGTATCAGATAAATGAGCAAGCCGGTTCACCAGTTCAGTGTTTTAGAATCGTCGAATAATCGTCTCTGTCGATTCTGAGGATGCGGTTGTGGACGTACAATCGAAAGTTTGCTTAGTGTTCTTTTAGCTCGAGAACGCGACACAGACAATCTATTCAGAGATTATCTGATGCAAGGAAGGCTTGAGATTCTTTCGAAATCAAGAATCTGTACAAGATGAGAGAGAAGAGAGAAACGTGAAACAAAATCGTGTCTCTCTATCGTCGAGTGGCGACTTAGCAAAGGTCTCAAGCAGAGAAGTAACAAACTGAGAAGACCTGAAGGGAGGAAAAAAAACTGAAAACAGTGTTTCTCCCAGATCTAACCCTCTATCAAATCTTGCAAAAGAAGAAAGGAAAAAGGGAGGAAGAGAAAGACAGTATTATGTGGAGAGTGATTTGGGGGGAAGAAAGAAGGAGGAAGATGGAAATTTAGATTAAGTAGTAACCGATAGATGGGAGGGGAGAAAGAGTGGAAGAGGTGGAAGGGTTTGTGGGAAGGACGAGAATCAGCGAAAGAACTTTTAAGAAAAATGGAAATACTGACAACGGGAGGCGAAAAAAAGGAAAAAAAAAGTTCAAAAAACGTCGAGTTAAAAAAAAGGGCGAAAAGGAGAGGAAAGGGTCTGACTGGATATCCAGATAACCATACAGGCTGGGCCCAGTCTTTCCCTCTCTAGTCAATTTTCACCTCTTTTGTGTCTTGGTGTCGTACAAGTTACAACACCTATCTTACTACTGTTGAATTAAATAGAACTATGATCAATTATTATGATCAGCATCATGAATGCCTTTGATTCAAATAACCACTAGGTACATAGGTAGATCCTTCATGTGCTTCAATATCATTGATGGCAAATTTTGCAATGATTACGGAGCGCATGTGTCTTCTCTGGGTCAGGTTCACACACCTTAAAGCAAGGAAGGTAGAACTCCGTAACTTTGTATTTGTGGAGCCAGCTGAAAGGCTCAATGACTCCAAATTCACGTACAGTTACGTACTCCGTACATCGACAGACTACTACCTTATCTACCTAGAGAGGTAGACTAAATATGTACTTGGATACTATCAGGATTATCAACATCGACTTAGTATCTGAAGCTATTGACTCTTGGGTACTCAATAGTATCACCCAGGCAAAAGGGAAAAAAGGAAAAAGAGGCAATGTGGTTTATTCCTCCAAGCTTTGTATAATCCGAGTCAACTATCTTATCTCTTGTCAGTCTGCTGGCTAAGACAGTGTTACGCTTGATTTAATTCTCAACAACTACCTACTAATACCAATAGACAGTGGTACTCCGTACGTACTGCTTTAATCCGCTGCTTTTCGAGCGTGTGAACCCACCCCAAGTGACATGCTCCAGATTGCCACTACTATGACTCTATGCCTGGCTCATCCGATGGGCATTTGCCACCACCTACTGGCGGCATTCCGGACTGTATTATAGCAGGTTAAATGTACCCCACAACGCCTATCGAGCTTAAATATCTTGTTTTGAAATATTTATTCCATTTATGGATCTATATAAACTGCTGAGGTTTAGCACTGACACTGCTGACTAGACCTCGCTCTTCTCATTGAACTGCTTTGCCTTCTTCTTGCTGATCTTCACCGCGATGACAGCCATAGCGACGAAGATGAAAATGAAGGCAACGTTGCGAAGAGAATAAGGGGAAGATTCGGGCAGAGTTGATACTTCTGACAGTTCTCCATCGTAGAGTCCATCAGCTGGTTCTTGTTCTGAGCGTCATCCAACCATCAGCATATTTGATTGCATATCAAAGCAGCAAGGACTGACCAGGAACAGGTCTACAGCTCCTCGTGGCTACCTTTGGTGGATTCATCCTTGATCTCTCCACTCTTGACGATCTTGACGGTCTGCGCAGGCTTGTCGCCGGGACCCTTGGGCACATTCTCGATTTGTTCCACGATTTCGTAGCCCTCAAGGACCTCACCGAAAACAACATGGCGGCCATCCAGCCATCTACCAGTACATGGGATATTAGTACGCTTCTCGTATAGATCGGCAAGGAAATCACGGAACGTAAACTCACGGAGTAGGAACGGTGGTAATGAAGAACTGAGAGCCGTTGGTATCTTTGCCAGCGTTTGCCATGCCTGATATAGTTAGAGAACTGCGACAGTCACGTCAAGGGTTCAAGGAGAGTCGTACTCAGAAGGCCCTTGCGGGTGTGCCTAAGCTTGAAGTTCTCATCCTGGAATTTCTCGCCGTAGATCGACTTTCCACCAGTACCTACAAGTCAAATACTGTCAGCACATGCGCTACTACCTATTGATATGCAGAACTTACCATCACCACGGGTGAAGTCACCGCCCTGGATCATGAAGCTCTTGATCACACGGTGGAAGGTAGAGCCCTCATAACCGAAGCCCTTCTCACCGGTAGCGAGAGCGCTGTGTTACGTTTAGTAGGGGCTCGACAACATATTCAATTGATTGAAGAATCGTACCGGAAGTTCTCAGCAGTCTGAACCCAGGCCGTTCCATTAGTGTCCAGTTCAGACCAAGAAGCAGTGCTGCAGAACGGGGCGATGCCTACCTTAGGGACAGTCTTGCCGTACAATCCAAGCACGATTCTTCCTAAAGGCTTGTCTCCATGCTCAATGTCGAAGAAAACCTATGCAACCAATCGTTAGATGCGTGTATCAATAAGCAGGAACTTGCTTACCTTGCTTGTGATCTTTGGGCCTCGGGGCTCCTTGGTCTCCTCAGCATGGACCAGAGCGAGTCCAACCGCGAAAACCAGGAAGAAGGACAAAAAAAGACTTTTGAAGTTCATAGTTGCTCACAATTGCMGGGAAGAGTAAATTTCAGGCAATGACTGAGAGAAAGCTGTAAGATAGATTGAGATTGAAGGAGGTCGAGGCCAGCTTGCAGTTATCCATAGCGTGCGGAGATGCCAAGACACCTTCAACGAACAAGCTGTGTACTTTTCAAGATGACCTGCTGTAAATCTGCTGCAATGTGGCGCAGAATACCTCTCGTATACGGAGTGTAAATAGCGAGACCAGGCATTTGATACAAACCCCGGTAATTTTCATTAAATTTGCAAAGTTGACTCGGAGAAATGTTTTTGCAGCCTAATTTCTTCCGCTTCCCGGTGATCAACTGCGATCGATGATAGCAGTCCAGCGCAATTGGAAGAGGAATCGGTCCTAGGAACTGCAGATTCCGGCTAGTTAAGCAAGATGGTATTGCCCAAGTTCTTTTCACCGCAATTATGCATGCTCACCGTAATCTAGGTCTTTATTCTGGGTGTGAATTTCCCCGAGCGGAATCTCGTCAAGGCAAGCGCAGCTCTATCCCCAAGACTCAGACCCGGCGACCAAACCTCTGTTTGTTCATACAGTCTTAACGCGATTCTGACGCTTAATATAGAAATCCCTCGAGACGTTCTTCGGCGTTGGTCCCCTCGTTTCTGCACGCCTCCTTGCCCGCTTCCACATCCACCCCACATGCAAGGTTGGCGAGCTTGCGAACAAGCAGGTTCTGGACCTCACAGCTGCTTTATCCGACATGAAGATTGAGAATGATCTCCGGAGACAGATTCTTGATGATATCAAGCGGTTGAAAGAGTCGGGTTCCTACCGGGGTAGACGCCATGCGTTGGGATTACCGGTTCGGGGACAGAGAACGAGGACACAGGTGGGTTATCCTTTTAGATTTGCGCGTTCAATGACAGACCTGCATCGTGCTATGATTTGGAAACAGAGAAGACAGAGCATGCTGACGAGACCCACAGATTTCGACCGCTGTCAAGCTCAACCGTATGGAAAGAAGACTGTGACTTTGATTTGATGGCTGCTATACTTCAAGGCATGGAAATGGCGTTATGCTCGTTGGCTCTTACGTACTTTTGAAATTTCTATATCCATGTATCATATTATAGGCAGGAGAATGCGAAGCAAAAAGCAGATCAGATCTCCGCTTCGTTATGTGCTCTTTTCATCTCTACAAAACAATCTGATGCTGTCTAAATCAGTCATGACAAAATCATGCTTGTATATTGGAACGAGACAAAAATAACTCCAACTTTTCGTACTCCACTAAGAAACCAAAAGAATATGTACGAACATATCATGCCGACAATACGCCTTCGCCCCGGTTGATCTGAATCCTCTTATCCTCTCCCGCACTTACAATGCCGACTGTCTTGTCCCAGCAAACACTGAAGACCTTGACACCTTCCCCTCCGACGCGCTTAGTATCAGACTTTCCTTGCTCCTCCAGACTCTTCCGCGAGATGGAGTAGACGCTCTCGCCAACGACACCGTCTTTATCGGTCTTCGTGGCACGGATGTCCCAGATGCGGCATGTGCCGTCATGGCTTCCACTGATCAAACCATATGTACTGTGAGGGTCGCGAGCCAACGAGACGACGGCGTTCGTGTGACCCCGCAATGTCATGGCGGAGATTGTCGTCGCTGATGCGCGGGGGTCAATGAGAGTAATGTGGCGCGCGGATGTTCCCGCAGCGAGCAGGTTGAGCTCCGGAAGATGCTCCAAGGAAAGCAGCGAGTGAGACGTCGTCCGAGTGTCCACAAGGGTAGTGGTGACGAGGTCCCATGTGCGCAGGGAGTGGTCCCAAGAAGCCGAGTAACCAACCGTCGAGTCTTTCGCATCGAAGATAGCAGCCGATACGGGCGCGGTGTGCGATGACAAAAGTGCCAGTGGCCCTCGCTGGGGAACAGTCACGGAAGAGTTCAGCTTTCTCCTCTTAGAGCTTCTCGAGGCGGCCGATGGCAGCAGGTCCTCTGGCGCAACGGGGGCGTCCGATTTCTTGGTCGACCAGAAGCCGACACTATGATCTGAGGAGGCGGAGAGTATACTGTTCGAGGGCGCATGGACGGCCAGAGAGTTAATGCCAGACTTGTGTCCGTACAGCTCGAGCTGGGGAGCTATTGTGCCTGTAAACCCTCCTTCACCCTCAGAATACTTCCATAGACGGACTGTGCGATCGAGGCCCGCCGATGCGATCTGGTTCGGAGTAACGAATTTGGCCGCTTTGATGGATGCCGTATGCCCCCCATCGGCGGCCGCTGGGGAAGTCGCGACAATCTGAGATGACATGTTCCACACCCGAAGCAAGCCGTCATAGCTACCGGAAAGGATCTTCTCCTGACCTTGAGAAATTGCTGCTGATGCCCAGCTGGCAGCGGGCGAGGTTGCAGAGAGCACATCAGTCGAGCTGACCCAGTCATCATGCTGGAAGGATGCGATGTGCAGCGGGGGAATCAATGCTCTGACGTATTCAATCTCCAAAGTCGTCTCCGCAGAGATACCGTTGGCGGTCAGATATTCATCGATCGAAGTCCGCAGAAATGTACCGTTGATCAGAAACTCGAATGGGATCGGTTTGTCGTTACCGAGGAGGTTGTTCACCAGTGTCGAAAGCGCATATCGTCGCAAACCTTGTAGTAGCAGACGTGTCAGACCTGCGACAACTCATTCGAATGACATTGGAAGGGGATGACCTACTTGTAGGAACCAAGATTGGTCCAGCGTTATCTGGCAGCGCAATATCTTCTTGTTTGCTGGTGAGTTGCACGCGGACCTGCCGCTGGGCAGCAGACGAGGTCGCAGTAGCATCGAAATCTGAGCCGTCATTCATATCGAAATTCTGGAGGCTAGCTATCTCAGGGAGGTATGTTTGACAATTCTCGTCGATATCAGAATCTTGCTGCCGTCGACCGTAGAGTGAAGGAAAAAAAATACGGCGGCCGATGCGGCCATTTGCGCAGTGCGCGGAGTTTCGCCGCTACACAGTCTGTCAATTCGGAGAAAGCAGAGAAGACAGTCAATCATATCTAGGTTAATCAGGGCTCTCTTGTGCTTTTTATTACAGTATGGAACTATATACAGCTGGCCGATTTGCGATCTTATCCCCGGGACTGTCGTCTAATATCTGCAATCGCCTTCCGTCGGTAATCTGACTCCGCAAAGAGAGCCTCAATCAGATCGACCACCTCGTCTGCTGAAAATTCAAGCCGAAGCTCTCCTTCTGTCCAAAGAAATCTGATGTCGGCAAGAGAGCTTTCCAGTATATTTATCAGGTATTGGAACTTCAACCAGTTGCGCACGTACACCGCGGTCATTGGCACACGGTCAATACCTTCAGTTGGCCCGGGCATAAACAAGTCCTCCAATTGCGAGACCTGATTACAGAAAGCCACCAGGCGTTGGGACTGAGCTTCCGAGATATCACCCAAATCCTCKATATCAATGATAATCTTGTTGATGACGGAGGCTACCAACGATCCAATCGATTGAAGAAGCGCGGAATGTGACAGGATTGGTTGCCATTCCTTGTAGACATCGCGGATTCTGTCAACAGTGGCGCTTATTGCATTTTCGCACTCCCCAAGGAACGGCTGTTCTGAACACTGACTGAATCCCTGGGCACCGTCGAGCAAGTCGGTGACTATAGTGCGTTGAGTCTGCATCTCCTTGCTATAAGCGAGCTTGCCGAACTTTTCAAATGCATCCAAATCCGAACTGAGACGCGAAAGCTTATGTTCGTCAACCATGGTCCGGAGCTGCTCGACGAGGTACAAACTGTCATTATACAGGTACATTTGTCCAGCATTGAGTTTGAGACCGTAGAATGAAGGTGCCGTCGCCTTGAACATAGCCAGGATTAACGTCGGAAGTGCAAGAAGACCAGCCCCAGAAGAGACAATACGCGTATGATTGTGTCTAAGTTGTTGTAAGTGGATGTGCAGATCATAAGTCATTGTCAACTTACCCAGGCTGTGAGATGACCTCCACATCCCTGACTTGCTGCCGGACAATCGCCATAATAGAGTCCGGAATATCCGTGACAGTGTAGTGCTCTCTCAAGGTAACTTCCCGGGATGCATGATGTCCGATACCTCTTCCAATTACAGGAGTCGCCTTATCAGTCTCCTGGGTTGGTTGGTTTTCAACACGTTCATCTGCGTCTTCGTCACCCCAGCCCCATGCATCTGCATCATCGTCGTCGGCGGATTCTGAGATATCGGCTTTGGTCTCCACTATGCCCTCCTTAGCGTCGTCGTCAAGACCCCAAGCGGCGACATCATCGTCATCTTCTTGGGTTCCCGAGGAGATTCCCTTGGACTCGTCACCGTTGTCGTCATCCCAATTAGCGTCCCAATCGTCTGAAGTGGCATTTTCCAACAGTACTTCGTCTGCTTGAGATACCTCTTCCTTTTCAACCCTTTCTACTTGCTTTGTCAACCCCTGACTCCCCGCAAGAACTTTACGGACTTGATCGAGAGAGTCAGCTCGCCGCCTAGTAAGCCAGAGGCGGGGTGCTTGATTCACCCAAGACACAAGTTCTTCCTGCCCGTGCCATCCAAGTGTCTCGATTGTCTGAGCAAATTTCAACACATTTTCCAGGATAGCTTCAAAGTCAGCGAGGCCTGCAAGATCTGTGGGGACCGCATATGAAAGCCAAGATGATATGATTTTGGAGGACAGAGCTGGTATGAAAGTGTCGGAGAAGGAATCTGAAATGGACGAAGGCAGACATTGCCGGAGAAAACCTAAGACATCGGAGACACGATCGAGCAGCTGCGGGGCGGTGGTTGTGGCTGGTTCTGGCTGCACATGAATCGAGCCTTCTGCAACACTGATCAGACGACTATAGCCGTCCAGATTAGGAAGCAATATTGGTTCCACTATCGCTAACAGGAGATCCTTCTGCAGTCTGTCATTTGCTGGGACAAGTAGATCCAATCGAGCCATGGCAGCTATTGTATCATCCAGCAAGGCACCTAATCACCGTCAGATTGAATCATACACAAATTTCTCTAGATGAACGTACAGTCATTTTTGGCAACCTCGAAGCTGCCCGCCTGTCTGTCAACCTTCAGGAGGTTGTTCCAGCGACACCGGAGATCCTCCGCAATCTGTTTTTTCAGGTCGGCGACATTCTGCACCAAAATGTGCTTTACGTTAGTGTTGGCGAAAAGACTATCCTTTTGTACAGTGTCTTCCACCGCGTTCACTGTGTTAATGGCGGCCATGATACGGCCTTCCGCAAGGTCTGTCCGTCCTGCATTGAGTCGCTGGCAAAGTCCTTGTACCTCCTCAAGGGTCCTGGTCACGGCCTGGTTGAAAGCAATCTCTGTTTGAATCAATCGAACCTTCGCAGAGGCGTCTTCGACCTTCAGCTGCAAGGGCCTAGTGTTCTCGTGCTGCGCAACAATCTCACGCGCCGTAAGCCTGGATCGCTCAATATCTGCATGAAGCTGTTTGGCTTGCGAAATCCAACCGTCGGCATCAAAGTCATTCTCTCGACTCAACGAGTTTATTTCAGCCTTGTGGAAAGTAGAGATATTAGCATTTTGGGGACTGAACATTGCGGATATTGAGCACGTACTTCGACCTGCTCTCTTGCATTCGATATAAGCTCCAGTTCTTTAGCCAGAGCTGACGTAGGAAATACCGATGATACAACGTCTTCCGAGCCTGGAAAGGTGCCTTCTGTAACGAAATCCAGTACCGACTGGCAAATCTTCTGCTCCGACGCCTGCGGAGACATCTTTCGGACGGTCTCTAGTGTCCGAGCTTGTCCTGAAATATAGCCCAGAGGTAACTTCCGGCTCTGACTGGGAGATACACTGCCCGCAGCGCTTGATGGTATATCCTGGGCAGGGAAAGCTATGAGCTTCAGTGCTGGTAATAGCCGGAAGAAGCGACCTTGCTGTTCATAATAACAACAATCCCCGCCATGTGACCTCAGCGTCAGATTCACCGCCTTGGCTGGATAAGCTGAAGAAGTCTCACCACGAGCTGTACTCT